GACAACAGAAGGTATTAACACAAAGATAGAACAGCAGAAAAAACTGAAGATGAAGCTATTTTGGTTGTCACTGATAAAAGCAAAATTATAATAATGAATATTTAATCAAATCAATTAAGACTTGCTAACAATGTAAAAAGTCAAATATATGATATTACACTGGGAGGGTGACACAGGAGTTCAAGGCAGATTGTGAGTTCAAGGCCAGCATGGGATACATAATGAGATTTTATCTCAAAAAACCAAACTAAAACCAAAAGGCTGATTCAAATATAAATTTCTATGAAGAAATGCAAGTATCCATTGAACACAAGAAAAGATGCTTAACATTAATTAGGGAAATCTAAACCAAAGCTATAATGAGTTACTCCACTTATGAATGTTGGAATTAAAATGACAAAAAACCCCATAGAGGCTAAGACACTAGAATCCTTTTAATACTGTTAAGGGTACATAAAATGGTACAGTGTTAGTGGAAAATACTTTAGTGGCTTTACAAAAAACCTTACAGAACTAGATATGGTCTAGCAACTCTCCTAAATAATTAAGGAATGAAAATCAAGGACTCAAATAGTTATATACATAGAATCATTCACAACAGCCAGAAGGAGAAAATGAATCCAAGTGTATACATCTAAAGAGAATAAGAGGTAGAACATACCTACAATGGACTCTGACTCAGCAATACAAAGGGAGTAAATCTGGCCCATGTATAACAATGGATCAGACTTGAAGACTTTACGTTAAGTGAAATGGGTATATCACAAAATAGACAAATATCAAAAGATTCTACTTAAATGGTAAGTTTCATTAAACACATTTACCATAATATTTAAAAAATTGGAATGCATGGAAATAGGTTCTATCATACTGCTGAGAGACAGATAAACCCCCACAAAATTTAAAAAGGTAATTTACCAGTAAGTATCTAGATCCTTTTTAAAAAGATGTCTGAACTCTTTGACTTAGTAATTCAGATAATTTACCCTCAGGGAACAATTTAAAAAGAAAACATAATACTTTTAAGGTATTCTCCTGATCATTATTCATAAATGGGGACTTGCAGAGTACCCTAAATATCCAAAGGTATCTTAAGTAATGTTAATTAAATATAACAATTAAAGTGATCTTTGAGAACAATTTATGATCGAGGCAGACAGTCTGAGAGGGTGGGTCTGGACCTCCATTGGGGTAGCAACTCGGAGCTCAGAAGCCTACCACAGAGTGCCAGGTTCTGGCCTCCATCTGGCCTCCAACTACCAGAGGGCCTGAGAACCAAGGGGACAGCCTAACAGCCCCACCCCCCATCCTGCCTCAACATGGTGGTGAGCTTCCCCTAATTGCCTCATAACACCCCCCTACCTGGGATTTTGTAAGGCCCCTCCCAAGGCTCCAGGGCAGATCTGCCTTTGGTAGGCTAAGGCTGAGATCCTAACAGACAGCCTGAGAGGGTGGGTTCAGATCTCTATCATGGTAGCTGCTCTGAGCTCAGCAGATCACCAGAGAGGGCCGGGTTCTGGGCTAATCTAGGAAACACAAAATTACACAGAGAGCACAAACAGCAATCAAAATGATGGCAACTGATACACACCTTTAAATAATAAGTCTGGCATAGGGTTGACAACCCACAGGGCTGCCTGCAAGAGACTGGATCCTGCTTCCATGTGGTGAAGGAAGCCTGAGTGTACCTGACTGCAGCCTGAATTGGGCTTCTGTGGGTATCCCTGAATAGCTGATCTGAAGCCAGCAGTTCCCTCCAAAATAAACCAGAGAGAACCTGAACCCTGTACCAACCAGATTTACATAACCAACAAAGAAAGGATCTAGGCACCCAGATAATGCAAATAGAAGCATACTTCAACTTAATTCTCATATCACAATCATAAACAACAAAAGAAATTCACATGCCAAAACTACAACAAAAGAATAATAAAACGGAAAGCCAAAACACTATGTCTCCACCAATCCTGTAGAAGAGTTCTACAAGGAGAACCCCAGGACACCAAATTTAAAAGATCATAAATATGCCGGGCGTGGTGGCCCACACCTTTAATCCCAGCACTTGGGAGGCAGAGGCAGGCAGATCTTTGTGAGTTCGAGGCCAGCTT